AAGAAGAGGGAGGAGTGGGAGGTGGGGGGGTACGAGGCGCCCTTCGCTCCCTCCCTCCCTCCCTAGGAGCTGCCGCCGCCGCTCTGCCGCCGCCACTCCGCCGCCATTTTGGGTTCGCTTGGCGGAGGGGGAGACGATCCCCGTCTCGGTTGCGGGACCCACCTCCCCTCAGTTTCTCCAGCTTTAGCCCCCACGCCTTTCTCTTCTCCTCTCTCCCGTTTCCGCCAGTCCGCTCCCCCGCCGGCCGCCTCTTGACAAGCGAGAGGGATCCGCTGTGGACCCGGGGAAGCGGAGGAGCCTGGTGGCGGCCGTCCCCTCTTCCCCACTTCCCTGCACTCTCATCGCTGGGCCTCGGCCTCTGACACGGTGAGTAGAACCGCCGGGGGAGGCCTTGGGGCCTAAGTCGTTCCTCCGCTACTCAGCCCTGGGCTGCCGGGGCGCTCCTGTCATCTCCCGGACCCGCGCCTCCGGGAGAGCGGCGGCGGGAATGGGGGAGGGGAGCGCCGGGCAGGGGATCCTGAGCTCATCGGGAAGTCCCTCCTGGCGGGGCCGAAGGAGTGTCCCTCACTGGCGGGCTCCTGGCGTGGGGCCGGGGGGCGGGAAAGTCAGCCAGCGGAGGCGGAGTCGCCCGTGTCCCTGACAGGTTTATCTCGCGTGTGGTGTGGGCCCGACGGGAGGATCCCCCCAGGTCCGCGCTCCGTCTGTTGCGGGGAGGAGGGTGGCAGGAGAAGTGATCTTCGGAGGGTAGTTTGCCTGCACGATCGGGTCTGTTGTGTTCCTGACCCGCTGAACTGCATGCAGCGAACGACAGAACGATCTCAGGGTTCTAAGTTGAATAAATGTTACTGGTTAGTTTGTACATGGAAAGACATGTTTTTGGTCTAGAAGACAGATGGTCTGTTGGTATAGAGCGGCTGTGTGTGTATGTGTGTAAGGAAGGAAAGTGTTCCGGAAGAGTTTGCTTGTATTTGTATAAGGGTAATGGAGTTCCCCCTATAAGTTAGCTTATTTTAAAAATAAAATGTGGGATGTTGTTCCCTGCTGATTGACATGCGTGTGTATTTTAGGGTTTGGGAGCGAGTGAGTTATTACTTCTTGGGGAAGAGCAGTCAGGGCAGTAGTATTGTAGACACACTAGGTAGTGTGTGTGTGTGTGTGTGTGTGGGGGCGGGGGGGGTCAGGGATGGGAGAAGCCTGTCATAGCCAGGTATGGTCTTGGGAATAGTTGGTTTCTCTAATAGAGTGCATCGTGTAAATGCGAGGGCCCAGACCATCTTTAACAGCACAATTATTGTGAGGGTATAAAGAATGCTTGGCCTTTCTGCGGACCCGAGTTTATATCAACACTTTATAATAGAGTAAAGCATTTGTATTTTTCAGACTGCACTTGCAGTTTGTGTGTGTGTGTGTGTGATCCTAAATCCCTGTGAAAATGGTAGGATAGATGTTTTCTCCTATTTCACAGAATAGGAAATTGAGGCATAACGAGATAATTTTTCCAAGGTCACAAGTTAAGTTGGGGACAAAGTTGGGATTATAATTCAATGGTTTGACCACTACTCAAGTAGTATTTCCATCATACAATGAATGGAGCCTCTGAAGGTCTTTGACAGGCAAATCCTGAGTTTATTGGAAAGATAGGGGCATATGTGACTGGTTGGATAATATATTTGGTACCGATCAGTTGTGTCAGACATGTGTATGGAATGTATGTTGCCCTTGCTCAGGTTGACCTGTATGAAAATGTGTATCCATGACTATTATTTTTTGTTTATGGGGGAAGCAGAGCATTCCTGACAATTAGGCTTGTGTGTTTGAGAGAGGGATCTTTCATCGCATAACTTGTACCAGAGCAGCCGCATGGGGTCTGACAGCTTAATTTTTATTTTATTTTATTTTGACAGCTTAACTTTAAATCTTTGGGAGGAAGGATCTTTCATTCAGTCAACAAATATTTATCTAATAACTTCTTAATAAATTGTCCTGCCTTAGGCTGAGAATAATCAAGGTGACCCTGTTGAAACAACCTGAGTACATATGAAGGGGGACTTGTCTTGACAGAGATATATATTAACTTGAGCGAGGCAAACAAGTCAGTGTGGAATTGAAACTAGAAAACCTTCCTAAAAAAATCTATTCGGTTTGGAGGGTATTTAGATCTTCCAGACATTTTAATATGAAAGGATAGAAGTGTATTTTTAATTAAGACTCTTAACAGGGTAGGTAGCCAGGTTGTGATAGAGTGTGTCGTCTTTTGCTTTTTTTCGGGGGGGGGGGCATTTATGAGTAAACTATTTGGGGGATCTTGGAATTGTTTTTATATGTGCCTATGGATATTGAAACTTTGGCTAGGCTGAAGGAATTCTTCGAAAGGCTAATTTATAGTAAGGATCTCCTTTATGAATATGACTTGAATAAAGCCAACTTAATTTTATTTCTCTGGAAGTTTGAATTTTTTTAAAAATGTATTTTATTGATTTTTTACAGAGAGGAAGGGAGAGGGATAGAGAGTTGGAAACATTGATGAGAGAGAAACATCGATCAGCTGCCTCCTGCACACTCCCTAGTGGGGATGTCCCCTCAACCAAGGTACATGCCCCTGACTAGAATCGAACCTGGGACCCTTCAGTCTGCAGGCTGACGCTTTCTATCCACTGAGCCAAACCGGTCAGGGCATGAAGTTTGAATTTTTTGATGTGCCAGATCAGTGGTTCTTAAAGTTTTTTTTGGGACACTTACCCTTCTGAGAATCTGGTGTAAGACCCTTGCTCAACTGTAGAAAATGAGCATAAGAATAATCACACAAGTTATGCATACAATTTCAGGAACTTAAATTGTAATGAAATAGAACCAATTTATATTCAGGTCTCATTTGAAAGCCTTTTTTTTTTCTAGTTTTGTTTGGGAGTGAGTATGCTGTTATAAGTTGAAAAGATGAAAGATTCTGTGACTTTATTTGAGCATGCTGACAGTAAGGAGAACTTGAAGATCCGTGTTTTTAATTATTTTTATTTCTTTGCATACTTATTTCTGCAGTGTTAGTATGTGATTCTGAATTAGGTGGTAAGAGAATATAATACAGCACAAATGTTTATAAATTTATTCCTTTTAGTTATCTTTATTTTCAAACTTCTATCTTTCCAGTTTTGTATTGGAAATGAGGCTCATTTTGAGGCTCATTTCCTGAAATTTATCTTAGTTATAACAAATATTGAGTTAATTCGATTCAAGGGATAAAAAGATGAATAATATATGGCCTCTACCCTAGAAGGTATTCTAATCCAGTTGAAGCTATGAATTGTATGATGGTAGGGACTTTCAAAAGGTCAAGGAAGGAGGTGGGAAGCATATTCCTAGGAGTTAAGGTTTCATAACTTAATTGCAGAGTTTTTGCCACTAATTCTTAGAAAGCCATAATGTCTTCATACTTTTTATGCAACTTCGTAGCTAAAAAATGTACTTTGATATTGAATGATTGATCATTTGATGTTTTTGGATTGAGGAACTCTGGTTTGAAAAGGAGGCAGACATTGGTTGCATTCCTTATCTTGTTTTGGATATATTTCCATAGTAAGTTTATGTAAAAAAGATAAAAAAATTTTTTTTATTGATTTCAGAGAGGATGGGAGAGGGAGAGAGAGATAGAAACATCAGTGATGAGAGAGAATCATTGATTGGCTGCCTCCTGCATGCTCAAGCCCACAACCTGTGCTTGTGCCCTGACTGAGAATTAAACTGTGACCTCATAGATCTACTATGATCAACCACTGAGCTACGCTGGTCTGGCTAAAAAATGTCTTAATGTCATATTTGGATATACATGCACCTAGAAAACACTTCTGGGGGTAAAATCCAGTAGTTATTTCACAGACTACCCATGAATCTAGTACTAGAAATTAAAAATAATTACTGAATTTTTAAAAGAACAAGAAAATTAGAAAGGTGTTTCAATAGGACAGATTATAGGATTCTGCAAGATAATGGAGAGAGATCTTAAGAAAAATGTTCTGATTGTCTCATCTTTTTTGTCATGGCCTCTGTGTAAGAATGTTATGTAAGTTTGTGAAAAGGTTAAAGCCAGTATTCATTAACATACATTTCATTTCAAAATATAAAAGAATGTACAGAAGTGAATAATTTTTTTGTCAATGCCTGTTTTCAAACCGATGATGATTCTGGTCCATGCACTACTGATAACACGAAGCAGTGGAATCGTAAACATCAAGAATCATTTTGTTCGGAATTTGTGTGCCTTCAATTCATTGGTTTTATACTGTAAACTTTATTTTTTATGTATCCCCTTTTGAAAAAGTCT